GTCAAACCCCCCAAAATACAAATGTGGGAATGTTGCAGCAGTTACAACTTCGAGAATGTGTCACCAGTAATTTTTTTCACATCCGTCATAACTACTACTTACTAATACTATTTACTACTTTACTGTTAGGGAGGGAAATTAAAACAGTGCTGAGGCCTGGGGCTTCTCTTAATTTTGCTTCTGTCATCACCACTTATTTACTCACTTAATTACTTAGCACTTTTCCTCCAGAGTTCAAAGTGATAGACCAAGTTGTTGAGACTCTAGAGAGAGTGCAGAGAAGAGCAACAAAGATTATGAGGGGACTGGGGGCTGAAACATATAAAGAACGGTTACAGGAACAGGATATGTCTTGTTTAATAAAAAGAAGGACATGGGGCAGGCGTGGGTTTCTGCCAGTTTGGTCGGTCACATTTACTGTGCCTTTCAATACTGGTTGATCCAGTGGCACCGAACCGGAACGCTGGAGGTGCCCTGCTGGGTTCGGGCCTCGGACTTCTGCCCCTCATACTGCGCTTTGCATCTGCCAGAGCCCTACACAGATCTCTTTGGGGTGCAGAAGGGGAAGAAGTCCCCAAACTAGGATATCCCCCTACCTCAACCCAGCTTCTCCGCCTCCTCCTTTGCTTAGGCTCCCTGCTGGGTTCAGGAGCTTCTGCCCCTCATGACATGCTTTGCAGCCACTGCAGCCCTGCGCAGACCTCTTCAGGGTGCTGGGCAACCTAGTTCTGGGTGTTCCCCCCCCCAAAAAAAAGAATGACTCTGCTGCCGAGGATGAGCATTGGACGGGATGCCGGCGGTGCTGGGAGCCGGGCTGCGTGTGGAGGAGCTGGCGGCCAGGGTGCCCTGAAGCAGTGCCAGCCAGCATGTACTACAAGAAGAGCCCCAGGAGCAAGGGCGGTAGCGCTATGCCCTCCTCTGCCTTGCTCATCACCCAGCAACGTGCCACCGCTGCTTTGTTGGATGGGCCGACGCAGCCCAGGAGGGGGCGGCCAATGTGGGGCATTGCCCAGCCAGCCCTTCCTCAGCAGCAGCAGCAAGTTCCACGACGTCACCTTCAAGATAAGCGATGGCCGCGGGTGTCACTTGGCCAGGACAGAAGGGCTAGCCCAGTGCCCACCCAGTCACTGCTTGATGGGTGGGTGGGCAGGTGGGTGGGCAGGCGGACGGAGGTTTGCCCTGGCCCGACCAGAGGCTGGCGTGAATTCCCCTCCTGTTTCTTCTTCTATGGGGTGTGCTGCCTTGTCTTTGACAGCCAAATCCTCTGCATGAATTCCCCCCAATTGGAAACGAGGTGGCTGTGAAAGACAAGGCAGCGCGCCCCGTAGAAGAAGAAACAGGAGGGGAGTTCGCGCCAGCCTCCGGTCGGGCCAGGGCAACCCTCCAAGTT